TTTGTATTCAATTCCAGATATTAATTAGCTTTCCTGTGATTTGCCTTCTTCCTACAAGACAATTACAGGGAATTAATTGGGTAGTCTTGGTCATTTGGTTCAGATTAGCCAAGATTTCATGACAAACATACAGAAGTAGGGCGTTCAAGAGGGTGTTGCAGACGGAGGAACAGGCTTGAGAGCTGAGCTAGGAGATTGGAGGATGGACGACACCTACTCTGGAAGACTCATTGGAGGAGGTCTTTCTCAATCTCAGATTTAATGAGACAGCAGAAGTGGCATTCATGGAGGGTCCTAACACAGACATCCCTTCCCTTGGGTTGAAGGGGCTGGTGAGCTTTGTGAGCAGGTCCCCCCAGGACGCCCTTCCCCTCTTCACCGTATCCTCCCTTCACTCGCGCTCTGCCCTCCCAGGTGGTGATTCTGTGCCCCTTCACTGGCATCCAGCAAACCTTCCCCTGCAGCAAATGGCTGGATGAGAAGAAGGCAGATGGGCTGATTGAGAGGCAGCTCTATGAGATGGTGTCTCTCAGGAAGAAGCGGCTGAAGAGTAAGTACAAGAGCCCCAGAATCTTCCAGCAATACCAGGATGTCAGAACACTGTCAAAGGCTTTGAAGGAGTCCACGCCTGCTTCTCAATTCTCCTCTACAGAGACTGGGAAAGAACCCTTTAGGGGACTCAGTTCTACAAGGTACAGACAGTACAACGTCACACACCTGGAACTAAGACTGACTCCAGGTCCCCAGATTGGAGAAGTGGCTAGGGGTTAAACTGAAGGATTCACTCTAGTGCACTCTGAATATACCAGGTAGGGTGGGCGGAGTCAATTCTTCCCCCATTTAAGGCATACCACCAGTAGGATTTACCACCAGTAGGCTTGGTCTGTAAAAAAGACATGGAAGAACTCTATTTTTAATAGCAGGAATCCTCAGCTTTCTAAATACAACCCTTCTTATACTGGGTTTCCGAGAGTGGGACACACTTGCCTGTCACCTGCTGTTCGGTCGTGATCATTTTCTCTCCTCTTTCCTACTGGTAACCTGAAAACCTCTTCAGTTGATGTTCATGGGGCACCTTGATCTGTCTTGCAGAATTTCCTTGGTCCCTGTGGGTCTGGACCACGGACCTGAAGAAGGCCGGTACCAACTCTCCCATCTTCATCCAGATTTATGGACAGAAGGGGCGGACAGATGAGATTCTCCTGAATCCCAACAACAAGTGGTTCAAACCAGGTGTCATCGAGAAGTTTAGGGTAGGAGAGAACTGCGGTGAGGTGGGTGGGGAAAGGAGGAAGGATGTGGCAGGTATTCAGAGAATCTGATTTTCTAAGCCAGATTCGTTTTCAACCAAGTTTGAAGACGAAATGGAAAGTTTACCCCCGCCCCCGGCAAGGGGTGACACATGTGATGATTTATAGGCAAGGGAGTGAAGGGGAGACAGTTTAGATCTGCCCTTCGTCTGAGACTGTAGGAATCAAGCCAGGGGGAACAAGGATGGAATGGTTTTGAGCATCTAAGAATTGAGTGACTGGGGGACAGAATAGAGACCCTGAGCGCAGTGAGTGTTAGATCACCCAATATGGGCTGAATTAGACAGTAAGGGTCAAATTTAAGGAAAAGTATGAATTTCAGGGCATTTGAAGGGAAATACAGCTTTAAAACTTTCCAGTACATATGTAACTAGAACAAGGGTCCCCCTCACCCCACTGAACTGTGGCTTTGACCTTTTGGTAGGAATAATTTGTAATTTGCAGTCTTCCCTCAGAGAACCCCATTGGTGCCTTATTCTAACACTCGATTCATTGCTCTTTATGTATTTGTCTTTCCTGCCAGATTTGAGCCCCTAGGGAAAGGGCATGGCTTTGGTATTGATCTTTTTGTCTGTTCCACTGCCCAATGGAGTCCTGGGGCTGTGGGCCTGTGCTAATTTGCAGGGCTGTCATATAGATTTTGTTACTGGAATGTTATTGCTTGGAAGGTTTTCTTTAGGCTGCATCCCACTGTGGGTCAGTTATTTTTGTTCTGTTTCACCAGCCCAGACTGAACCCCAGTTTTACATGGCTGTCTCTCCCCCATGGGCCTTTGGCTACCAGGAACAGGAGAGGAATGAGGGTGTTGGGGGAGGACTGGAAGCCCATTCATCCTGTCGAGGGAGAAACAGCTCCCGTGGCCGGCTGTGAGGAGACAGGCATTTCCCCAGCCATGCCTGCTCAGACCTGTTCATTTCTCGACACAGATTGAGCTCCCAGATCTCGGCAGATTTTATAAGCTTCGAGCATGGCACGATAGAAGGAGTCCTGGTTCTGGATGGCATTTAGAAAGGGTGAGATGCACCACCTTGAGGGTTGGGAGAGGAATCAGAATTGTCCCTCTTTGTGACTGTAAGTTTACTCTCTATTGGAAATAGAAGTGGAGAAGCGTGGACATGGGCCACAGGTACTTCCAGATGGCTGGGGAGACACCTTCCAAAGCAGACTGAGAAAATGCTCAGGTGCCCATGGGGCCTGCATATCTGCCCCAGTTACCCATATGCTAAGCAAGTGCCAGTCTCCAGGGGACCAGGGGGAGAAATATTAACCTGTCTCTCCGCCTTCCGCAAGGGTCCTCTCCAGGAGATGGCCTTGGCCTTTCTGAGATGAGATAGCAGAATGGTGACTTTGGGGCATGGGTGAGAGACTCTGCTACCTGAAAGTCACCTGCTCACCCTGGAACTTCATTTTAGATGACCCTGATGAACACTCTGAATAAGGACAAGTATAACTTCAATTGCAATCGCTGGCTGGACGCCAACGAAGATGACAATGAGATTGTGAGGGAAATGACCGCAGAGGGCCCAACAGTGCGGAGGATCATGGGCAGTAAGTACTGATCACTGCCCATCCTGGGGGAGGCCGTGGACCTTCTACTTGGTGTGCCAAGGGACACTTGAACTGAACTGATCGTGTTGTCCACTCTGCGTCATCAGGACCCCTCTGACTGCCAGAGTGGGTTTTGAAGTTCCCAGCTTCAAGACAGGCTTGAAGGAGCCACCTTCAAGGCATGATGCTCCCACTCGACCATGATGGGTGTGTTGGGGAGGGAGGGGAGGTCTACGGGTCTTCAGGCTGGCCAGGGGAGGGTGAGAAGACTCTGCTCTAAACAGTACTTCTCCAGAGCTGCCTTGAAGTTAGAGGAAGTGTCTTTTTATTCCCTTCAAATTATGAAATGCGGAGACTGATTCCCCAAAGGAAGGCTGGATGTGGATTCTTGCAGCCATGCTTGGCTGCTACCCGATGAGCATCTATCTCTATTTGAGGCTGGTAGGAGAGGGACTTAATTTAGAGTCTAGCAACCACATTCACAGAGCCAAAGGGAAGTCATTTTGCCTCTAGGTTATAGTAGCAGAGTGTTGGCAAATAATCAGCACATGTTCTGTCCTTTTCCCATGGCAGACACTACTAAGTGACATGACATTCTCTCTCATTGAATCTGAAATGAGCTTTGCAGCCATCAATATAGCAATTCAACAGACACTACCAACTGATCAGAACTGACATGTAAGATAGCATGTTTGTTATCTTTGTGGCAGTTGTTAATCTTTTCAATAGTAAAGTAATATTGCAAAATCACAAAAAGCTAAGAACATACAGAAAACAATGACACCCATGGTTCTAGTAGCCCTACTAAATATTGCAGAAACATCAATTCACGGGTGATCATGTGGTACTTATGAGTACTCTGCATAGACACACGCACTAGAAGCGCCCTCTGTATTTGTTGAAGTTATTTGATATTAGAGTTAAATGCTAAGTGTGTGTGTGTGTGTGTGTGTGTGTTTGTGTGTTTGCATCTCCAAATAGCAAATATCTCAAATGAGATCATCCAGTCTGTTAGTCTAATTAGGCAATACTTATAATTAGTAACAAGTTTCCTCTGTTTTATGGTTTCTTCATTTTTAATTAAATATATGACTATAGAATATTTGTGTTCAAAGCCCCTTATACTCGTCTGATGAAGAATTGAGGAAGTTCTTGCTATGATCACATAGCTGGTTAGAGACAGAGTGAGACCTAGAACAGGTCTTTGATTCCTGGTTCAGTGACTATTCCAAGACACCACTTCTGCCTTTTCATATTCAATAGTGGTTTGCTTTGGAAACAAGGCTATAATCTTTCTGTGAGTATGATAATACCATATGCTCCCCCACCAGTTGGGACATTATATCATATGTAGCCCACCAGGGCAGAGATGCTCCTGTTTCTTACCTGAGCTATCCACTTTGTGCGCCAGAATTGAGCTTGTAGGTAGGTGTGAAGAACTGGGAGGGCCTCGTGGGACCTGACTGCTTTTCCAAAGCCTTCTAACCATTCTCATGATATGAGTTCTGCAGACTCTGCTTCTAAAGTTACCTGGTGTTTTCATTCCTGAGCCTTCTGTGGTGTTACCTACAGCTCTGATCCACCGCCTCTTCTCCAGGTGTTCTCAAACTTCAGGGCATTCTCATCTGGGGGCTTGTCGAAACACAGATTGTGGGGTCCCACTGAGAGTTTCTGATTCAGTGGGTCTGCAGTGGGGCCTGAGAATGTGCTTGTCTCGCCCATCCCTAGGTAATGGCAATGCTGCCCCTGGGGAACCACACTTTGAGAACCACTGGGCCAAGGCATATGCCCCTTTTCCGTGGCTCTCACCTTCCACGATTTTGATTTCTGTATCTGTCCCTCCTCCTATCTTTGGTTCGTGAATGTTGTCTAGATACAGCAAGAGGTAAACTTCCTGCCCAGGCCGTTGGGATTAAACTTTGCAGATAAAGTGGCATCTGAGCCAGGCCTTCTACTCTAAGGGCTGTTATTTAGTTTTTGTCTTCTGTGATTCTATTAAAGAACTATTTTAATGTGGAAAAAAAAAATCTGGTGATTAGCCTGGGCTGAGGCTGCCTGCCCTGCTTGTAAAGGCAGTTTGACATCTTCCAGGGGTTCTTGGCAGTTCTTTGGAGCTCCTACCGACTCAAATCCCCAACTCCTGTTTCTGGCCCACTGATATTTCTCTGGTGCTTGGAATACACCTGTGTCCTCGTCCAGATCTCCTTTTCTGGTCTGGATGCTTCTTTGTAGCACTAAACAGAGCTGATGGCAAAAACATCCCCCTTCCTCAGTTGCTACCAGCGTATGATGAATAACGAACGTGCCAGGATTCCCAGGAAGCCCTGGGGTGCGGAGTCTTGAACTCATGTACATTGAGTAAATACCAATTTAAAATCAATTCTGAGTTTGGAGTTGTGTGTCCCCAGTTTACTTATAAAATAATGGCCAGCCAAATCAGCAATTAATACCCTGCCTGGGAGCCGAGAGGCTTTGGGGAGTGATCCTGCTGATTAGCGCAGACCAGGAGACACGGACAAAACATGCAGAGCAGCTCACAGTTTATTTCCACCTTGCCTTTCCCTCGGGAGCCCCAGGAGGCAGCGACATCAATGAGATCAGCATTTTCCACTGTGATTATACACCGCTGATGAGAGGGCAAGAGAGTCCACTGGACTTGAGTGCCAAACGAGTCGCTTCTCGTTAATCAGACTGAGCTGTAATTTTTAAATTAAAGTACAAGAGGTTTCTGGTACTTACCCATGTGTTTAAAGTCTTTCACTGCTGATGTTAGCAATGCAATTGTTCTTAATCGTCCACAGACTTCTCACCAGGAAGAATTTGGGACCTCTGTGGCCCTTGGGCCCCAGGGGACCCCTGCAGAGAGGGAGGACCTTCAAGGACTTCCAATTGAATGGACCTTGGAGGTCCCAAACAAAGGGGGCTGGAATTCCTAGGCAGAGGAATTTCTAAATTCCCTCCTCATTTGGCTTCTGGGAATTGCCTAATCCACAGAGTTGAAACTGTAGAACTGGCCTTCATCAAAATTCTGACGGAGGGGAGGCTGGCCTCCGGGTCTTTCCTTCTCTTTTGTCCCTCAGGTTTCTACTTTCTGGTTTTCACTCTGGTAGTGCAGATCATTCCTCTTAGTGTTAGCACAGCGAACCCAGGACAGCGGAACACAAAGACTCACCTTCACTCCTCCAAAGGCTGAAGATGCAGGGTGTGCAGCTTTGGATTGTCAGGGGTCGATTAGAGGGGGCAGCGCAGGTTGGGTTTTGAAGGCTGTGGCCCTGTGAGCAGGCATGGGTGGGAGGCGGGAGGGTTTTCCTTGGCTTTAACTCATGCTTTAAGTGACTCCTTATGCCTGCTGTTCTCAAGGCAGGTCTCGGATATGATGATTCTTCCCCTTTTTTTTCTAACAGTGTTTTTGCTACATACATAATTGTTTCCTTGTGTACCCGCCTGTTTAGTGGTCCAATTTATTTTTCAAATGTGTCTATGTCTCCAAGTAGAAATGGGTACATTACTGAAAACCTAAGTTGGGCATTGAATTAAACATCCTGGTGGCTTGTCTCCTTCCTAATATAATTTCAAACTCATTTTAGATGGATGGCCAATGAGTAGGGTCCATTTCTAAAACAGCTGTATTGAGATAAAATGCATGTGTCATACAATTTGCCTGTACAAGGCAATGGTTTTCAGTACATTGATACAGTCACCCAGCCATCATCACTGCCTCCAGAACAGTTTCCTCTCCCCCAAAAGAAATTTCATACCAATTAGGGGTCATCCCATTTCTCCACCTTTCCCTTCAGTCTCTGATAAACACTCGGTCTCTATAGATTTACCTATTCTGGACATTTCATGGAAATGGAATTATACCTTGTGAACTCTTGCATTTAACTTCTCTTAATTAGCATGTTTTCAAGGTTCATCCATATTGTAGCACATATTAGAGCTTCATTTCTTCTTATTTGCTGAATAATATTCCATTGTATGAATGTAACACATTTATGTGTTCATGAGTATTCAGGTTTTCACTTTTCAGATATTATGAATAACGGTGGCATGAACATTTACATACAAGTTTTATGTGGACGTGTTTTCAATTCTCTTGGGCATGTAGTTAGGAGAAGGAGGGCTTGGTAATATAGTTACTCTATATGGTTTACTTTTTAAGGCACTACTGAACTGCCGTTTAAAAAGTTGTACCATTTTATATTCTCACTGGTAATCAAAGAGAGTTCCCATTTCTCCACATCTTTACCAACACTTGTTATTCTCCTTCATTATTCTTTTTCAGGAATGTTTTGGTTATTCTGGGTTCCCTTGCAATTCTAGGTGAATTTAGAATCAACTTGTCAATTTCTGCAAAGTCCACTGGGATTCTGATAGAATTATGTTGAATCTGTTCACTAGTTTTGGGATGTTGACATCTTGACAATGTGAGATCTTAAAATCTACAGATAGAGGATGTTTCCAGGTCCATGAATTGAAATCTTTAATTTATTTCAACAATATTTTGTAGTTTTCAGAGAATATATATTTCACAACCAGGCACGGTGGCACATGCTTATAATGCCAGTGGCCTGGAAGGCTGAGACAGGAAGATCACAAGTTCAAAGCCAGCCTCAGCAAAGTGAAGAACTAAGCAACTCAGTGAGACCTTGTCTCTAAATAAAATACAAAATAGGGCTGGGGATGTTGCTCAGTGGTCAAGTCCCCTAAGTCTAATCCTTGGTACCCCAGTCCCCCCAAGAAAGAATATACAGAATATATATTTCACTTGTTTTGTTAAATTTATTCATAAATATTTTATTCTTTTTGATGTTATTATGAATGGAAATGTTTGGCCTGGGATGTTTTATTGCTAGAGAATAGAAATACAATTGATTTAGATATATTGATTTTGAATTCTATAACTTCGCTGAATTCATCTGTTAGTTCTAACAGTTTTTAGTGACTTTCCTAATACATGATCCTACATCCGTGAATAGTTGTGATTTTACTTTTTCTTTTCAACCCGGATCCCTGTGTACTTCACTTGCCTCACTGCCTTGCCCCAAACCTCCAGTACCATGTTAGATGTGTGGAAGTGGTGAGAGTGGACACCTTTGTCCTATTCTTGATTGTTGAGAGCCACAGCCGAAGGGGCCCCAGCAAACTTTCAGACTGCCAGCTAATGATTGGCTCACAGCGGCCCCAGCAACTTCTAGCTGATTGGCTCCTCTGTGGTGATGCTCATTGGGCTGTTTCCCTGCCCTTTCAGACTACGGAGCTGCTCATTGGGGGACTTTTTTGGCTCCTCCCATGCGACCCAGCCAATCGGCCTCAAGAGCAGGAGGAGTGGGGGAGGTTGAGAGGCTTGTGGGAAGCCGGTGGTGGCAGTTGGGCTCTGAAGGTTTTTCCTAAGGAGCAGTTTTGTTTGGCGTGTGTGGTTCTAAAAATAAAGTTCGTTTCTTTTGACAAGTGGCTCCTGATTGTGCCCAGCCAGACTGTGGCACTTGATCTTGGGGGAGAGCATCCAGTCTTTCACCGTTGGGTATGATGTCACAGAAGAACTTCATGGGTTGAAGTTCCCTTTGTTTCTGTTTTGTCAATGACTGTTATTAAGAAAGAGTGTGAGATGTTGTCAAATGCTTTTTCTGCATCTATTGAGATGACCATGTGATATTTTTTTATTCTATTGGTATGATATAATACATTAATTTTCAGAAGTCAAACCAACTTGCATCTCTGAGATAAATTCTATGTTGTCACAGTGCATAATTCTTTTTATATGTTGCTGGACATGGTTTGCCGGTATTTTGTTGAAGACTTTTGCATCTGGATTCATAAAAGATATTGGTTTATAATTTTCTTTTCTTGCAATGTCTTTGTCAGTTTTGGTAACAGCATAATGCTGGCCTCATCAAACGAGTTGGGAAGTGTTGACTGCTCTTCCATTTTGGCAAGAGTTTGAGAAGAATAGGTATTGTTTGAATTTATGGTAGAATTCAGTGGTAAAGGCTTCTGGGCATGGGCTTTTTTGATTAGGGATTCAATCTTTTTTTTGTGTAATTTTTTGATTAGGGATTCAATCTTTTTGCTTGTTATAAGTCTATTCAGACTGTCTGATTCTTTTTGAGCCCATTTGGTGGATGTTTTTACTTTTGACCTACCTATGTCTTTGAATCCAAAGTGTGTTCCTTGATAGATAATAGTCAGGTCCATTTTCCATCTTACAAATCACTGTATAATAAACAGTTCAATTTTGTTATTGTTATTTGAATTCTAATAGCTTTCAAGTTACATCACCTCATTTTTCCCTTTCTGCCTGATATCTAGGTGAGCTGATAAGAAAGCCTAGATCCTTTGTCCCTTGGCACTGATGAAAGGTGGAAATCACATAAGCCCTGATCCAGGCCTTCATCTCGGCACCTAGTTTTCATAAAACCCCAATCTCCCTGATGCCTCAAACTATTTTTGGACCTTCGTGGGAGCCTGTCAAGCTCTCCTAAGAACTCCTCATTGTGTGACTAATACATCTTACTTTTGCTCTTGGCCCATGTGTACCTCCTCAGCTTTAATGTCCAAGCAAATCTGGGGTGGGCAGACCCATCCCGTCTCTGTAGGATGACCACCACACTCTGCCTTTTGATCGAAATGCTAAGTCCATTTATATTTAATGTAATTGCGGTTACAGTAGGATTTATATCTACCATCTTGCTGTTTTCTGTATGTCCATGGTATTTCCTTTTTTGGTATTAAATAGATATTTTATAGAACATCATTTTATTTTTCCTTATTGTCCCCTGCAACATGCATTCTTTGAGTTATTTTCTTTGTCATTGCCCAGGAAATTTACAATTATCATCTTGACTCAAAAAACAATTGAGTTCAGATTAATATCAAATTAATTTCAGTAGCATCCCCAAAATACAGGTTTGTTCCCTTCTCCTTCCTCTTGCACTAGTATTGTTGTGTAAATGGCATCTTGACACATTTGGGGAGACAGGTGCACCTCCCCCATGGAGCCTTTTCAGTGTTGGAAAAGGCCATTGTCCTTCCCGCTGTGACTGCATTTGGTGACTTTCTCTCTTCTTCACTGCCTGGCACATCGTCCTCAGTGCTGGAGGGTTCTGAAGAGAAGGGGAAGTCTCAGTTGGGGTTCATAAGGTAAAAGCCATCTTCCTTCAGAGGACAGGACACATATGAATTGGAGAACATCCTAAAGGTTTCCTGGATCCAATGAATCAAGGGCCAAAATGTTGGAACCAGAACCATCCCTGAACACTGGCCAGTTCCATCAGAGTCCCCTGAGGGAGTCACAAACAATTCAGTTTTTATCTTTGGAAACTGAGGGGCTCAGGAACCTGAATTCGTATGAAAGTTTTTCAGGGATTCCGATGTTTGGCTGGGATTGTGTCTGTCTGGTGTGTCGAGGCCAAGGGTCTTGGGGATGAGCTGGCTCTTGCCTGGTTCATTGCAGCAGGACTTAGATAGCTGTGGATAGGAGCAATCTCAGCCCAGGTGAGAGCCGGGAGGAGAGAAGGAGGCAGAGCTTAGAAGTGGGTGCTGGGCTTGTCAGCCAATGAAACCTCTCTCCCTCCCTCTCTTCCCGCCAGTGGTCCGGTACCGAGTGACTGTATGCACAGGGGAACTCGAAGGTGCGGGGACTGATGCCAACGTCTATCTCTGCCTTTATGGTGACGTGGGGGACACCGGGGAGCGGCTGCTGTATAACTGCAGGAATAACACCGACCTCTTTGAGAAGGGCAGTGTAAGTTGCCTCCCCTCCCCTCCCGACTGGTTTCCCTTCTTTTTATCTTCCCCACTCTTTTTTTTTTTTTTTTTTTTTGGTACCAGGGATTCAACCCAGAGCACTCAACCACTGAGCCACATCCCAACCCTATTTTGTATTTTATTTAGAGACAGGTCTCACTGAGTTGCTAGGTGCCTTGCTTTTACTGAGGCTGGCTCTGAACCTATGGTCCTCCTGCCTCAGCCTCCTGAGCTGCTGGGATTACAGGTGTGCGCCATTGCACCTGGCTTCCCTGCTGTTTTAAAATAGAGTCAATGACTGATATTGGGACTTCAGCCACCAAATAGCCTCTCTCTGAACGGGGAGAATGGGGGACTGGGGAGTCCCGGCAGGAGCCAAGCAGTGCCTGGCTTATTTGGTCCCTGAGCATTTGTCCGGCTGGGATTCACTAACATGCATGACACCTACCAAGCTCCTAGGACGATGCAGCTAGGACCTGGAGAGCCACCCTAGAGGCTATGGTCCCCTCCTCACCCCTGAGCTTTGAGAAGAGGGGAGGGAGAGCAGTACCTTTCTTACCTCCAGGAAGGACAGGGGAGAAGGATTCTGGGCCTCTGTGTGGCACTAGTGAACTCAGGCTGGGGGAAAGTTGGGCATCTAAGGCCAACGCGGAAACTCTACATTCTCCACTAAGACCAGTGGGGACATCTCCTTCAAAGTCCTTTGTGAAAAAGAAACCAAGAAAGCCACTAGGCATGGGAGTGGGAGAACAGGGCTCTGCTCCCAGCCTTTTTACAACTGTTGTAAGTATTCCCTGTCACCCCATGCACTCAGTGGGTACTGGGGAGGGCTTAGGAAGCAGTGGGGAAGGAGGCAGGCAGGTAGGGGCCAAACAAGCCATGAGCCAACCACTCCATTCCTCTGTGCCTCCTTTTCCTCCTCCTAAAATGAGGGAAAGGATGCCTACCTGTGGCTGGCCTTGTGAGGTTAGGGATGGTTGTTGTAATGCCCCTCAGACCTGCCCCAAAGCACACAGTCGATGCTCAGTAAAATCATTGCTGCAGATGAAGTGAGGCGCTGGTGAGCTCACAGGCAAAGGGGCAACGGCAGAAGCCTTCACCCTGTCTCCTTCCTCTGCCACCCCTTCCTTGGTGAGTGTCAGTCAGCTTTCCATGGCTGTGACAAAATACCAGACAGAAATCCATTTAAAACAAGAAAGATGTATTTTGGCTCACAGTTTCAGAGGTTTCGATCCATGATTGTGTGGCGCTCTTGCCTTGGGCCTGTGATAAGGCAGAACATCATGGCGGGGAACCTGTGGTAGGGCAATGCTGCTTACTTTATGGTGGCTGGGAAGAGAGGAGAATCCAGGGACAAAATATGCCCTTCAAGGCACGCCCCCAGTGACCTATCTCGTCCCACTAGGCCCCACCTCCTAAAATATCCACCATCTCCCAACAGCACCACCTGCTGGGGACCATGTCTTCAATGCACAAGCCTTTGGGAACACTCCAGACCCCAACTATAACAGTCAGGACAGGATGGACCCTGGGAGGAGCGTGGAGGCCTGTTGTGAGGCCAATCCAAGTTGGCTTAGTTCTTAGATCTTGGCTATGGGCAAAGATTCTCTGAGCAGGCTGTTGGGGTGGGGGGAGGCACGCCCAGGGCATCTGGGGAGAGGAGGTGGGCTGCCTTGCCTTCCCTTGCAGTCTTACATTTTTCTCTCATTCCCACCCACCCACATTTTTCTCCACTCTTCTCCTCCTACATCTTCTGACATCTCTGTCCGTAACTCCCACGTATCCTCCTCTAGACCTAAAAACTCCTCATTCCCTTTATTATTGCTGTCTCAGTGGCAGGAAAGACTTCAAAATTGGCCAGACCACTTGGTTCTCCCAATCAGTTCTAATCATCCCCCTCTTTAGAATAGCTGGTGACTGATAACAGCTTCACATATTTGTATTCCTAGGGGAAGCTGCCTTTTAAAAAGAGATTGTAGGGAATGGCCATATTTAGCAAAAAAACAAAACAAAAAAAAATCGGATTTTGGTTGTAGGGAACTTGACATGGTATAATAGTTTCAGCAGGAGAAATCGGGAGAGGGGTTAAGTCTGTTCTCCACCTCTGAAAGACCAGTAAGCCGACCTGTCAGCCCTGCCTTCTCCGATTTCTGGGTGTGTGTCTCCCTTTGGTGTTTGGTCCTGGGTAGCCACCATCCAACTGATCCCAACTGACCCGGCTGTCCTTCCCTCCCTGAAGGCCGATGAGTTCACCATCGAGTCTGTCACCATGAGGAAGGTGAGGCGGGTGAGGATCAGACATGACGGCAAGGGCCCAGGGAGCGGCTGGTACCTGGAACGGGTGCTGCTGAGAGAGGAGGGGCAGCCCGAGAGTGACAACGTGGAGTTCCCGTGTCTCAGGTACCTGCGTCCCATCTGCGTTTTCTCCAGCTTAGGCTCTGCTCCCTGAGTGTGGAGGGGACCCAACGCTACTGCCAGGACCAGGGAGCAAAACAGTGGCTTAAGGCTGTCGTGGGGGGAAGAGTCCCACATCCCACCCACCACTGCGGGGGCAGGGTGTCCAGGTGCACTTCTAATTTGCTCCATTTAAGTGTCAAATGTTGGTATTATAATAAAAGTTGACAATCTCTGGAATTTAAATGAGAGCTACTGGAAACAATGAATTGCGTGCTGACTTAAGCTTTTGAATTTAAGGTGTGCTTTTGTTTAAATAGCCTTCCAACCGCATCTTTTCCCAGTTGACATCTTTTCAAGCTATCTTGCTTGTCGGCATTTCCTTTCCCCAGCTTGTGAGCCAGTAAAGCTTCTTTTCCCGTTTTCTTTTTCTGAAGCATTTGGATTTCTTACATAGCCACTTGGGCTCCTGTTGACTTCCAGAAGTCTCTGAGCAAGGTGGTCCTTTGCATTCTCCTGGAGCCATGGCAGGAGGTGCACCCAGTAGGATTAGCTTGGGGCCTGATCCCCCAAGTTGCCTCTCTCCTCAGCTGATCTGCCAGGATCAGGAAGCATTGAGCTAGGGCAGGTGTGTGTGTGTGTGTGTGTGTGTGTGTGTGTGTGTGCGTGCATGCACGCAGGCCCGCGCACACTCACACCCAGGAGAAGAGTAATGAAGCCCCCAACAGATTGACTTATTCATTTAGCAATATCTCACTGTGAAAAACTGGGCTGGAGCATTTGAAGCCAAAAGGAAACAGCATTTTTTTTAAAAAAGATATCTATTTATATACTGCAAATATTTAGGTAGAAATGAAATGACAAGTCATGGTTTCCTTTTACCATTGGGAGAGGCTGGGGATGGATCAATGGAGAGAGAAGGGAAAGCCGATGGGGTTTCCCGTGGGGAGTGTGTGGGGGGATGTGGGGGTGGGGGTGTGGGGAGGGGGGGTAGGGGAGGCCTGCTGGCCTTCCATCCTTTCCCTCTGCAAATGTGTGGCCAGGGTGCTCCTAGCCTTTTCTCCTCTGTAGACTCCGTGGCTATGGGAGTTGCCAGAGTGACCTCAGCCTGACAAGCAGAAAGAGAGGTCCCATGGATCAATTTAGGGGCTCTAGCTGGCAGGCCTGTGTCCCCAAACGCCCCTTATCTATGCTCAGGTTTCCTTCATGAATCTGCCCGTTTTGGACCCCCTGTTTCTCTGTGCTCTGGGATCATAGCACCAAGGTCCGCGGAAGTGCAATAGCTGAGCTGCCTTCTGTCATTATAAGGTTAGCTCAGAGCCACCTGACCACAAGGTCCCAAGGGAATGGAAGACCATGCGATTGGGGAGGGGGGTTGAGAGAGAAGGGATGGCAGAGACCACAGTGTTGCCTCTGTTGTCCCTGAGACAAGGTGGCACGTGAGCAGAAAAGATGACAGTTCCCCGTGGCCCAAGGTCCACATCAGAAGGGCTATGGAGTAGCAATGCCCCCACTTCCTGCCGGGACTCTGTGGCCCAGGAATTGCATCTCTCCAGAGTGCACTAGGGGTGGGCTGTGAAATAAATACCAAGACATAAAGTTAGATGCTTTTTTGGTCCAGAGCCAATGTGTTGGTTTCCAAATACCCCAGAGAACACTGAGGCTGTCTATTCTGCTTTCACGAGCCCCAGATCACAGAACCCCAAACAGACTGGGCTCCCTGGGCACTGGGAAAGGCATTTCCCAGGAGGGTAGTCCAATGACAGCAGAGAGCTGGGCCATGGCTCACTGTGACATAGTGATGCGTGACAGCTGTCAAACCCCAAAGGGCACAGACCCAGCTTCTTCTCAAAGGCCAATCTCACTCACCCTGGAAGATGCAGATCCAGCAGCCTCCCCTTGAGCCTACCTTCTCCTCTAACTCCTCTAGCACTCTCCTGCTCCAGCACCATCTTTACCTTATCTCCAGTGCTGCACGCAGCCCATCCTGTCTCCTTAGCCCATGCAGGCTCTCCACAGCCTGGGCTGGGTCTTGTTTGTCTCAGTGTCCTGCCTTCTCCCAGCTCAGAGCTCTTAGCACAGGGCTAGGCACACAGAACCCTCTCAGAAAAAGAGGTGGGGGTTTTCTGAGGATAACAATGCCTTTTACTGTGAGCACCAAGGGCCTGCATCCTGTGGCCATCACCTCCCGGCTTCATGGGACTGCATGCAGCCCCCCCTCGCCACATCCCCTCCACGTGGGCCTCTGTCAGCTCCCGATTTCCTAAGGACATGCCGATCCCTTTGGGATGCTCCTCCTCCTCCTTCTCCTGGCGCACTCCGCCCTCCTTCTGGTCTCAGCCACATCCAGCTGGCACCTGCTCCAGGAAGTCCTCCTTCGCCAGTCTGGAGGGGATGCTGTCTCTGTTGGGAGCCCCTCTGGACCCACATTTCTTTGCTCAATTCAAAGCTCTGACCTCCCTGGTGACTGGTGTGATGGCTGGGGTGACTGCCTGCCCCTCTCAAAGCACTGACCTCGTCCTGTTTGCCCACCAGGTGGCTGGACAAGGATAAGGATGATGGGCAGCTGGTCCGAGAGTTGCTGCCCAGTGACAGCAATGCCACACTCAAGAGTGAGTTGTCCTGATGACTGGGCGGTGGGTATGCCCATGGCAGGATGGGTGCCCTCCTCCAGCTGGGCAGAAGTGAGCCCTTGGAGAGAACATTTCAAGGAAGCAGCGTTGGGGAGGTGGAGAGGAGTGGCCATGAGGGAGGGGCTGGAAATGCCTGGCATGTCCTTTGGTGCTGTCCCTTTGTGGCCACAGGTGTGAGGCCCTAAATGCATTTGGGTGAACAGAATAGCAAGATCAATTACACCAGCTAATGTCCCATGGCCGTGCCCTGGAGAGGAGAGTCCCATTTTGAAGGGACTGCAGATGAGGACTGTGTTCACAACTGTTTCCTCCCAGAGGCCTTAGCGTTTTCCTCACTGGTGATATTCCTTCAAGTGCTGGGGTTTCATCATAAGCTCAAGACAACATTTAAAAGAACCTTATCCCTGAATCCTAACAATAGCAACACCTCCTGGTTATTATTTCTGTCTCATTTGCAATATCCCCAAAGGAAGGTGGAACTGATGCTATTCGTTCTTTAGATGGGGTACTGAAGTCTGGAGGAGCTAGAGGTTTATATCTGACCTTTCCTAAGGCCAGATCAGAAAGATGGAACCAGAGTGTCCAGTATCTGGGCTCAGAATTATAGGACTTAAGAGACCCTCGACTGTGGTAAGGGACACTCCCACCCCCTGTACACCAGGCCTATAGTCAGGGATGGAGCCGGCCCGAGTGCCCAGGATGTAGCTGTCTTACATCACTGCTATTCCCCCTCCAGCAGCCTCCTGTCCTGCCCTGTGGACAGGCCCTCACCTCCTGCTTTCCCAGTGAGAGCCTTTGATAGGGTTTAGATGGAACCTGGCATAAGGAAGAGCTCTTCTAGTTCCTGGTATAGCTTTAAGCAAGGACAAGTGCACTTGGATGTTCCTAGTGGACTGGTCTGGACCAGGCCTGGCCAGGCTACAGGGCTGGCCCCCAGAAAGTTGGACACAGCTCTCTTTCTCCGACCCTGTTTTCCCAGTGGGAAGACCCCAAGTCTTGAGTGCAGGCCTTGGAGATGGTTTCATTTACCCTCAATGCTGCTTCTCCTTTCCCCAAGACACACCTGGAGCGCACCTGGAGAACTATGGATCTTGGCTCATGTTATCCAAGGACTCACCTTTTCCTTGGGGGTTTCATCCTTGCACCCAGGCAGTGCAGACCTTTCTGGGTAATAAAACAAAGTCACATCCACATGGGTCCAGTTAACAGCAGGGGGCTTTATTTAGGTCCATAGCAAGATTTCACTCCAGGTTGGTGACTTCTTAAATGTCACCATCTTGCACCAAACATATGACCTCTGAGCCTCCAATTCCTTGTCCAGGAAACTGGGATGAGCATCCCTAGCCATAATGCTGTGTGCCTGGTGTGCTCAACACTGTCAGATGATGCGTCCTTTGCGTTGGTTTCCTCATCCATCAGAGGAGATGCTGGACCACGTGATTGCTGGACATCTTTGTCTTCAGTTTTGGTGCACTGGCCTGTGGTTTGCAATTTCCTTTCCTGTTCTCAGCATTTACCCCTCTGGAGCAGGCAGGGTACCCATTAAAATTCTGATATTGCAGATGAGAGGGCTCCACAGAGATGAAGGGAGCTCCTGCCCCGAGTCACAGGACCTGGGTTCTTGACTCACAGCCCGTGTCTCCCCCAACCACAGACTTCCATTCTGTCCCAGGGGCCCTGTTCCTTGCCCTCTGACCTGCACTAACCTCCCCTCTCTCTTCCCCTGCCTTGAACTGCTCAGATTTCCGTTATCACATCAGCGTGAAGACTGGGGACGTCTCTGGAGCCAGCACAGATTCCAAGGTCTACATCAAACTCTACGGGGATAAATCCGACACCATCAAGCAAGTTCTTCTCGTCTCTGACAATAACCTCAAAGACTATTTTGAACGTGGCCGGGTGGACGAATTTACCCTGGAGACCCTGAACATTGGGACTGTAAGTGTCCTTCCCAAGGTTGAGTGACATCATCCACCCATGATCACATAGGTATCTGCATGCATGTACATGTACACACTTGCGCACACATAGGTGAGCCTGTTTTGAAGGAAAAGAGTTGTTAACTTGGGGATCGTTAATGCGGGGTGCTGTTTTTCAGATATGACCTAGAGCAGCTGAAGATCTGTGAACAGTGGCTAAGCTCCCAGGGCCTCACGGAGGGTGGGATTTTAGTAGCTTTACTGCCCCCCAACATTTTACCTACATGGCCAGAACCAGTGCACCTGGAGAGGGGACATCGGGTTTGGATAAGGAAAAGAGAAAAGGAAGTACTTCAAGGAGTGCCTGAAAACGCTTCCCAGCGCCAGGCCTGAGTGCCACTGGAACTGTTTCAGTGGACAATTCCAAGCCACCACTATGCTGTCTTAGGGGGTGGGACCCAAGAGTCTTCCTCTCTCAAGGTTCCAGGTGGCCCTGCTGTAGGAGATCTGAGCACTTCATTAAAGGTAAACAAAGTTCTCCACTAGAGTGGGGAGGCCGCTTCAATCAGCGTATCCTGCTGCAGTGGGGAAAGAGGCCGGTGCCAAGTGAACCCAACTTTGATGTGTGCAGAGGTTTCCAAGGCATTTTAAAGGGCAGAGGAGGGAATGGGAGGAGGGTGAACAGCGATTCAGAGTTGGGGCAGTGAGGAATCACAGGGGTAAGGGGAGGTTGGACCCTGTTAGGGTTTCATCTGGAATGTCCCCCAAAAGCTCTGTGTTGAAAGCCATGTTCAGAGGCAAAGACTGGATCATAAGGACTCTGACCTCGTCAGTGGATCAATCCATTTGATGGATAGTAATTTGAACAGATTGACTGAGAGGTGGTGAAAACGATAGGCAGATGGGGTGTGGCTGGAAAGTAGGTCATGGGGCCATGGCCTTGGGGGCTCTATCTGTCCTGACCCCTTTCTGTGTCATTTCTCTGCCTCCTGGCTGCTGTGAGCACAGCGGATTTCCTCTGCCATGCTCTTGTATCATGATATCGCTGCCCTGGAGCCAGCCAACTATGGACTGAATCTCCGAAATCACCAGCCAAAATGATTTTTCTTTCCTCTTCTGAGTGGTTTTCGTCAGGTGTTTGGTCACAGCAATGAAAAGCTGATGAACACAGACCACAGGACACCCATCTGGGATTGCTCACTGGCACCTATTCTAGTTAGCTTCTACCCTCCCAGCACCTGAACTCAGGACCACCTGCAGGTCCAGCTAGAACCCAGAGCGTATTCTCAGGCAGGCATTTTAAGGGCAGTAGGGTCATCCTAGGAATGTAGCCTTGAGCTGTTAGAAACTGTGCTAGTGTTTTGTTCAAGTCATTTTAGGTCAAAGTTGGGGCTTAGCCAAGAAAGATCTGAGTAGCCTGGCTAGGGGTTGGTCAAGGTGAGACTCTGTACTTGACCTGGAGAAACAAAGATCTAAACCCTGAACTCGACCACTGGCCACAGCCCCCAAAATGTCTGTGCGGGGATATGTGTTGCACCTGCTGCTCTCAGGGGGCCGCGCGGTGGGAACTGAAGCAGTGACAAGCCCTCTGCTTCCCTGCACTGTGCCTCTCTGTGAAGCACCCTATTTCTAGAATTCTCTCCTCCCAACAACACACACTCTGGAGAACAGTCTCATATCACTTATCTCTTGAGGTTCATGAACTTCAATCTAGGTTTTCCTTGATCAAAATGTATTTACATTTTAAGTTGAATCAGTAACTGTAGAGTGGAAATGTTTTTCCCTTTCCTAAAGGATTTCTGGCAGCAGCCAACAGATCAATGAAACATGGGGGAGGGGGAAGGGAGGTAGTGGGAGGGCATGTGGACCCTGCCTTGTATTGCCAAAACCCCCTCAGTGTGGCCAAGAAGCTGGGCGCTGAGCCCCATCTGCCAACTGCCTGGTCAGGGGCCCAGCATGCCCGGGCCACTTAACTTTGTTTACATAGGTTTTCTGATTTTCAACATTAGCATTAGAAGTGCTCAGTATGCCACTGAACAATTACTCTACCTCAAGGTCAAGGTGCTGTAGGATTGAATGACAGTCCCTGTCCTTGGGGAGCTTCCAGTCATATCAGATAGAAGACGCAGCCTTGCCTTGAGTTTTTCAGTCTGTATCTTTCAGGGACATTTATAGTCCCACCCCACAGGAAAACAGTGAAACTCCTGTGTCTCTTGGCGTGCACCCAGAGGGACCTCAGACCTTGTAAACAGCTGGTTTCCTTCTGACAAGCAGGGGACAGGGCTTCATGCACTAGCCTGTGGTAATGGTTCCATTACCAGCTGGAGAGACTCTTAGTATCTGGGAGAGCAAGGAGCAAGGTCTGCACAGACACTTTTTAAGATCTGCCCCTTTGGCACAAGACATGGCTAATGTCACCCTCCAAACCATCACAGAGGGAATCTCAGGGCAGGAAGGGTTCTTAAAGATCATCAGATAATTCCACAAAACATAAAAGCAATCAGAACGCTGATCCCTGTCACCTGCATGCAAAGATGTTAACAAATGGCAAAGCAATTGGCTAGAGAGGGACAGTCTCCCTGAGAACAAGCTGGAGGAGGGGATGGGGGTCCCAGGCAGGAGGGGAGACTCCCTGGTCCCTCAGCTGGAAGATGGCAGGTGGCCCTTTGGGCCAGGACTCTCTCTGCCTGTCCTGGGAGCCTCCCTCTTCTGAGGAGCTGGAGATCCCAGCTGAGGGGAGAGAGCAAGGGAGGCTGGGAAGTTTGCACATCCTGCTCCTGGCGCACCCTCACTGGGGTCTCCTTCCAGATCAACCGGCTGGTCATCGGGCACGACAGCACGGGCATGCACGCAGGATGGTTCCTGGGCAGCATCCAGATCCGTGTGCCTCGCCAAGGCAAGAAGTACACCTTCCCTGCCAACCGCTGGCTGGACAAGAACCAGGCGGATGGGCGCCTGGAGGTGGAGCTTTACCCCAGTGAGGTCGTGGAGATCCAGAAATGTAAGCAAGAGGCTGGTGGGACCTGCAGTGTGGATCCCCTGTGTGCTGAGGCTGGGGAAGGAGGGCGGACCCTGGGCAGCTGGGTCTTTTCTCCAACTGGTGGGGGGGAGGGGAGTTCTGTGGGGAGATGATGGGTCTTCCGATTGCCTCCAGTACCATGGTTCTGGGAGGCAGTAAGGGCGTATTTTACAGATGAGGAAACTGAGGACTCCACAGATGGAATTTTTTTTTTTTCTGGGATAAGGCAGCAAATGATATTATCTGGAAAATGCACATTCTCAGCCCTGTGGAGAAGAGTTTGAGGCATAGTCTGTGTCCTGCCCTGGGAGGACTGGCTGAGCAGATAAGACAGCTCACTCATTTATTCAGGAGCTATCTATTGAAGCTGCTCCGAGCCAGCCCTGCTCTGGGCTTTGTGGAGGCAGCAGAGAGCAAAACAGAAAAAACTCCTGTCCTCACGGGCTCTACGTCACACCCCCGTGGCAAGAAATAGAAAAGATAAAGCAGCAGAGCTCTGAAGAAAACGAAGCGGGGTGAGGGGTTTGCAGTGGAGTGGGTGGAGGGGCATCTTGGACAGGGTAGTAACGGGGAAGTTCAAGGTGATCTGGTCTCCACTGCATTTCATGTGAGCCCCAGAGCATGGTAGGTCAGAGACTCCTGAGGGTGTCTAGAGGGGAGGGGAGACAGTGGGACCAAATTACGAAGGGGAAGTTCCCTCCCTCTCCTGTCTACCTCCACCCCGAGAGCAGCTGCCCTCGGCTCACACCCACAGGCACCCCCCACCCTGGAAAGAGCCCCGCCCCAAGTCAGCTCTTCCCTTGCCAGGACCTTTGATATCTTCCTGTGCACCTCACCTCCCCAGCCTACCCCAAAGTTCTCCAAAAGCTGTACCATGCACAAGTGCTCCGCCATGGCACCTGGCGATGTAAGAACGGGCCCCTTCCCTCTTTTATGAGTTAAAACTTGATTTCCAATACAGCAGTCCGGGTACTAGCCAAGGACATAAAGATTTAGAAACAACAACAACAACAGCACAGGGGTGGGGTGCAGCTCGGTGGTCGACCACTCGCCTAGTGTGTACAATGCCCTGAGGTTCCATCCCCAGCACCACAGTCCCCCCAACTCCCCCTCCCCCAGAGCAATCTGACCTTTCCCTTCCTTTTCATCCTATCTCACTTTAACTAATTTAGTTTGTTCCTCTGAAATGTAGCTCTGAGCTTTTAAATAATATGCTTATCTGTTTTTTATTTTTCAGTCTTAGACATTACCTGTTATGTCTTATTATGGAAGAGGACTTGACTGTAGCGTAGCCTGGAGTCTGATTGGTTAGGCTTGCCTTTTCCACCTGCTACTCAATTCCTCTAAGCCTCAGTTTGTCCATCTGCAAGATGGGGATGATCGTACTTCCTCATAGTGCTGGGAACAGGTTAGATAAGATGGTGCTGTGAAGCCGGAGACACATGGCACAGACTCGGGAATGTTTGTTTTGTGATCACCGTGATTGCTATTACTAAATGTCCCCTTTCTCCCACATTTGTCTTCTCAGTGGTGCACTATGAGGTTGACATTTGGACAGGGGATGTGGGTGGCGCAGGTACCACTGCCCGAGTCTACTTGCAGATTTACGGCGAGGAAGGCAAGACCGAGGTGCTCTTCCTCTCCAGCCGCTCCAAGGCTTTTGATCGGGCATCCAAGGACACGTTCCAGGTGTGTGGGGTGAGCAGTGGGGTGCCCATGGAGATCTACTGGACACCGAGATAGTTCCCTGGCTGTTCTTATTTCCCCAGCCACATCCACTCGAGAACAGCTGCCTCTCTCCAGCTGAGTGCGAGATGCTGCTTGGAAAACAGATGCCCTGGGGGCAGTGAAGCGGGGTGTCGAGTTTTGGACTGGGCTCAGTCAAGTTTTACCTTGTGACTTGGACAGGAACCCCCTCTCCAGGCCCGGGTTTTGGGCCTATAATGAAGGGATTGAGCTAAATCAGGGGTTATCTTTGGTCTCAGGTCAAAGTCGGGTGTGAGGAACTTTAAGAAAAAGGTCCTGTCAAGCTGGAACTAGGCCAGAGTCACAGGGGTCTGGCACATGGGAGCTGGAGAGCCTCGTTGAGTCAAATGCTCTCATACGCTGCTGAGCAGGCCCAAGTGTTTGACCTGAGTCTCCACTTCCTCCTTCGTTAAAACCTAGCTCTGTAATGCCTGCCTGGCTGGCTTCATGGTCCCTGTAATGATCAATGTTAGGGAAGGCACTCAGGAAACTGGCCAGTGATGGAGATGTGACTGAGCAGTGCACCTTCTAGGGGCCAGCTGGCTAGGTTTCGGGGAGCAGGCACAGTTGGAAGGGCAGATGGGAGGGGGCACAGACAGCCCTCCATGGGGCGGATGGTCACCAGGTGCTATGAGTAGGCAAGTGCTGGAGAGGAGAACTATTGTACTCAAGGCATGACTTGCCAGGCCTAGTGCCCATTCCCAAGTGAGTGGAAAAGAATCAATTCTGCGTGCCCTGGACTCCATCTTGGCTGGTAGTTTTTTCACAAAGATGGTTTGGCCAATTGTGAGTTCATGAGCAGGAGGACAGGGGATTTGCAGTCTCCTCTAGGCCTAGAATCCAATAGTGAGACACTGGGTGACCATGAGGCAGCCCTATAGGCCTTAGTTTTCCATGGCACTCAAGTGGAATAACTGGGGGAACCAGGCTTTGAAAAAGGTCAAATGCCCAGCCAGGGGCTTTTCAGGATCAGGGTACCTAGGAGGAGCTGGACTAGCAGAGACCCATGTGAACCTCTCCCTGAAGCCTGTAGGGACCAGACCTCGTCTTATGCAGGTCCTTCCTGAGAGCCCGTGGTTCAAGACAGAGTGACAATGCCATCTAAGACTGATGACTCTATCTACACTGTCCTTTGAGCCAGTTTGTGCTATGCCTAGTGGGGAGACTTAAAATGATGGTCCCCACTCTTAAGGAACTCAGAGCTCTTGAGGGCAAAGAGTGCATCCAAGCCAGGCCAGGACCAGCTCCAAACTCTGGAGGAGGGGACAAGCAGTCCAACTGATGCTGTGTGTCTGGGATGGCCTTAGACATCTGGGGACATGGATGTGAGTTTTGTTTTTTAAAAAAAAGAACATTTTTTTCTTTTTGCTTATTACAAAAGTTATATATGCTAAATACTAAAAAACATATGGAAAGTGAACACTGAAAGATACAGAATGTTTTCAAAAAAGCGATAATAAAGCACAGGAATCAGAACGAATATGTTTGAGCTAGGGGTGAGGAGAGAATAAAGACAGGCCAAGAGAGAGAACTGCATAAGAAAGATGTGGAAACAGGAGCAATAGGAATGAATGGGGTGTGTGTGTGTGTGTGTGTGTGTGTGTGTGTGTGTGTATGTTTGAAAGAAAGAAACAGGGAAAAAAGATTGGCTCCCACAGGGGTTAGAAGAAAAGAAGTTTGGGGGTCACTGGGACCAGGCCAGAGGAGCCAAGCTGGGTGTGATTGGCGAGGGGGAGCATGGAGGCCCCTGCCCTGTCTGGGCCAGAGCCCAGCACGCAGGCCCTGCTCCTGACTCTGCAGGGGAGGTGGGGAGGACACGGGGCCACCCCAGCCACTGGCCTGTGCTCTGCATAGCTGGAGGCGGCGGACGTGGGTGAGATCTACAAGATCCGGCTGGGGCACACGGGCGAGGGCTTTGGGCCCAGCTGGTTCGTGGACGCCGTGTGGCTGCGGCACCTGGTGGTGCGGGAGGTGGAGCTCACGCCGGAGCAGGAGGCCAGGAAGAAGAAGGAGAAGGAGAAGCTGCGGCAGCTGCTCAAGAAGGAGCGGCTGAAAGCCAAGCTGCAGAGGAAGAAGAAGAAGAAGAGGAAGGGCAGCGATGAGGAGGAGGAGGAGGGGGAAGAGGAGGAGTCCTCCTCAGAGGAGTCCTCGTCAGAAGAGGAGGAGGAGGAGGAGGAGTCCGAGGAAGAAGAGGAAGAGGAGGAGCACGGGCCGGGGATGCAGGAGGTGATTGAGCAGTACAAGTTCGAAGTCCACCGCTGGCTGGCCCGGGGCAAGGAGGACAATGAACTTGTCGTGGAGTTGGTGCCAGCGGGCCGATCTGGTCCTGAGCGTAAGCCTGAGGGGCCATAATCCCCTAAAGGGACCAGGGAGGGGTCAGGGGTGGCTTGGTCTCCCTCACATAAAGGCTGAGTAGGTGGGCACCCATCATGATTCCCGAATAGCTCTGCTGACCTGTGTCTGAAAAGCCACCAGGGACAGTTCTCTTTGGGCTGAGCATGGCCCTTGTCCTGAGTCACTCAAGAGGAACCAATGGCTTGGAGAGGGGCCCTGAAATAACTAAATGTGGGGCGCACAGGAGAGAGGGATGTGGAGGCCAAATGTTGCTCTTAGCCTCACTGTGAAGGCGTCCTGGGCGGGAGGAGAGGCAGGTTCAGTTCCAGGTTGGTGCAGAGGTTCCTGTAGATTCTTCCTCTTCCCAGGGTCTGCCTGGACCTGGCTCTCAGGCCCATCTCATTGATTGCCCTCCTCAGTGCTATATCTCTCTGTGTCTCCAGCCAACACCTATGAAGTGCAGGTGATCACAGGCAATGTGCCCAAGGCCGGCACAGATGCCAATGTCTTCCTGACCATCTACGGTGAGGAGTACGGGGACACGGGCGAGCGGCCCCTGAAGAAGTCGGACAAATCCAACAAGTTTGAGCAGGGGCAGGTAGAGTGAGGGGGTCTCTATTCCCTTGGGGGTGGGACTCAGGCATGGGGCCTGGTGCCTTTGGATGGTCCCCATGGCGTCCCCACCCAGCACAGCATCTGCTAAGTGTCTAGCTGGGTGCTTCTTTCAATCCACTGAGGCACACCAGCACATGGTGGGGTACGAGAAGAGGACAAGCAGGTTCTAGCACATGGAGCCCATAGGCTAGCTGATTCTCAGGGACAGCTAGAGAACAGTATCTGAGAGAGGCTCAGGCACAGAGCAGGCTGAGCAGGGCTTCCTGGATAAAGAGCTTACCACGGGGTGTCTTGAAGAAGCCTGGTGGGAAGGGGAGACTTCAGCTGGGCAGATGAGTATGGTGCAGGTGTGTAACGATTACTGTGAGCCAAATGTCGTGGTGCACCCCTGTACTCCCATTGACTTGGGAGACTGAGGCAGGATGATTGCAAATTCAAAGGTAGTCCAGACAACTTAGAGAGACCCTGTTTCAGATAATAAAAGGGGCTGGGGATGGAGTTTAATGGTAGAACACCCTTGGGTTCAATCATCAGTGGCAACAAAAGTAAAATAAAAATGAAAAAGATAGTGAAAGGTGTTTGCAGAAGACAGGAGGACAGTGTGAGCAAAGAGGTGGAGGGAGAAAAATGCTCAGGTATAAGGATGGAGCATCTGCTCCCGAGCTGTGGTTGGTGCTGTTGGATGGTGGATAAGCTGGGATAAGACCAATAGGGTGGGTGTGGCCACAATGTGCTTGAAAGTCAGCCTGGAAGGCTGGACTGTGTCCTGAGGCAGTGGGAATCCATGAAAGAAATGCAAGCCTCTTCCTCTTCCAGGTGTAGATGGAAAAGCAGGAAAAAATAAAGCCATCATTTTTATCCTTTGAGGTATCACAAAATCCCCTGTCCCCTATCCTTCCCATTCCTGTCTTCATCCCCAAATCAGGTTCTTTGATCAACACAGAGGAGGAAAAACAATGACCGAATCCATTAAAATACTTCCCGGCTCATGACGATTTTTGTTCTGGGGCTCTAGCGTTTTTCTTCAGCCCTCCCTCCAGGGCTGGAGGACTAGGAATCCCTCCTGGGTTTCAGTGGTCTCCCAGAAAGATGATAGCCCCTACATTCCTAGACTGGGGGGAAACTGCTGTAGAAGACAAAACTAGTACACTTGGTGAAATCTGAATATGGATTGTATATTAGATAATGCTACGGTCCCAAGTCATACAATAACATTTTGGTCAATGACAAATGGCATATATAGCAGTGATCCCATAAGATTATATTCCCTAGTGACATCCTAGCTATCTTAGTTTTTGTAAGTTCACTCTTATTTGTTTTTGTTGTTGTTTGTTTGTTTGGGGATATCAGGGATTAAACTCAGCGGCACTCAACTACTGAGCCACATCCCCAGCCTTAGTTTTCATTTAGAGACAGGGTCTCACTGAGTTGCTTAGCACCTCACTATTGCTGAGGCTGGCTTTGAACTCATATTCCTCCTGCCTCAGCCTCCTGAGCTGCTGGAATTACAGGTGGATGCCACCACACACAACTCTTATTTATTTTTTGTTCACGTAATAACAAAACTCCCTTTGTAACATGATTTTCAAAACATATCCTCATCATTAAATAATGCATGTCTATAATGTAAGGACACTAAGTTTCTGAATTTGGTTATCACACCGTGACTATATGAGAATGTTCATAATATTTAGGGATGAAGGATCATGATTTCTTCCACTTACTTTCGACTGATTCAGAATAAAAGTAGAAAGAGAGAGAGAGAGAGCAAGAGAGAGAACAGATTGAGTAATACAGAAAATGTTGCATGTAAGTGCAGAATCTAGGTTAAGGTGAGCAGACTATCATCACATTATTTCTGCAAGCTTTCTGAATATTTGAAATCTTTTGCAAAATAAAGAGTCAAAAGAGGATAGCCAAGAATACCCCATTCACGTAAAGGGTCCTGGTGTTGTCAGCTTCCTCCTGTGCATATGGCAGCCTACGTACACGTGTATGATTCCCATTCCGTCTTCCCACCTAAGTGGCGAGCAGCCCCAAGCCTTCTGTTTCTGTCAATCACTTTGGATTTGCACAGGACTGACTCTTGGCAGGTGCTTAATGGAAATTTGGGGTTGAAGGAGATGATGCACTCGTGCACACATATACAGAATCTCTGTGCACCCCCATGTCACACATACAATACGAATGCCGGTATCCAGCAGACTCGTCAACTCTCTACCTCTCTCTCTCTCTTCACTTTCCCTCTCTTCCCTCCACCTTGCTGGGCAATGAGAGCAAGAAGATCCCCTGGGCAGGGGCTGGTTAAATACCAACAGTGCAGAGCAAACTCCAAACTAATGAGTTGCGGTTTCCATCACCCCAGCCCTGGTTGCTTTGGGGTCTTATCATCCACCTCAGGTGCTGGGTTCTTGGGAGAGTGGGGCTGATGGCAAGTTGGGGAGAGGGTGGATCTCACCCTTCTGAGTGCTACTCTGGCTCCTCCTAGACGGACACCTTCACCATCTATGCCATTGACCTGGGAGCTCTGTCCAAGATTCGGATTCGCCATGACAACACAGGCAGCAGACCAGGCTGGTTTCTGGACAGAATAGACATCACCGATGTGAACAATGAGATCACGTGAGTGGAGCTGGAGGAGAGGGAGAGAAGGCCATCCTTGCCACTAAGATAATCCTGAGAGAGGACTGCGGGTGGGTGAAGTGATGTCTGTGGGTGAGGGTGGGATAGCTGTGACTCTGTGGTTTGGTCCTGTGGCAGGGTGGGTGTCTTGCCTCCTTCCCTCTCAATGGGCAGCCCACTGGAGCTTCTAGTTCTCAGGGGACAGTCTGAAGACCAGCCACTCCAGTTGGCCCATCCATTCTGAGAGATTTCAATCCATATCAGGCCTCACACTCCTAGTCTCCGTGTGCAGTCTTAGCTCACCCAGAAGTCCCTCCATGGAAAAAAGAGCATCCCACACCTAGTTTCAATGTTCTAGACCAGAGACCAGCAACCCTTTTCTATAAAGGCTGTATAAAAATTATTTCTAGCTTTGCAGGTCATTTGGTCTCTGCAACAACGACTTTGCTGGTGAAGTACAAAAGCGCCTCTGGATGATAACTAAATGGATGGGCGTGACTGGGTTCCAGTCAATCTTCATCTACGAACACTGAGATTTGAATTCTGTGTAATTTTCATGCCACAAAATATTATCCATCTTTAGTCCCCCTCCCCCAACTATTTAAAAATGCAAAACTCATGTTAGCTCATGGGATGTACATAAATAAGCAGGTGGTGGGCCAGCTCTGGCCTCTGCTGGAGATTCTCCCCATCTCCCACCCTCACCTGCCCTACTGTCCCACAGAAGACCAGGCACAGTTTGCAGATGGTCCAGTGTTATGGCTTCCGTAAGGTCATCGTGGTGGCACATAAGGACCATGAGACAATCCCACGGCTGGGAACAGCATCTTGACCCAGGGTTTATCCTCTGCCAGTGCCTCACCAGGTCACCCTGGATGAGTGCTTCATCTTCATGCTGTCATTTCGTCTTCTAATAAGTGGGCTTAGTGATATCACTTCAGCCTACTACTCCAGACCTTCTGAAAACCTGAGGCATTCAAACTTGGAAAAGATAAAGTGCTGCTGAGACAGGAGGCAAGCGACAAGCTGTGAACATCCCCGGTTCCCCTGTGGCCCCGTCACAGCTGGCTAGTCCATTCCATTTGTTTGACATTTCTGATCCAGCCCAACAATTTAAAAATTATTGTAGCTTTGTAATTTATTTGAGTCTCCATCAGTACTTGTCCTTTTTGATCATTCTTTAAAAATATTAGCTATTCTTACCTTTTTCCAAATCAAGACATTAAGTGATTTGAAAAAAAAAAGTCCTGTTGGAATTTTCATTGTTCTGCCACTAAATGCATGTATGGAGAATGGCATATTTAAGTTATTAAGTGCTGCACCCCATGTTCATTTTTCCACTTCTCTAGCTGTTCCTTTATGTGCCTCAGTAATGCTTTGCAAGTTTCAACCCAGAACTGCTCCATGTTCTTGTTAAGTTTATGTCCTGGTTTATCACTCATAAATAAAATTGTCTCCTGACTCTTTTTTTCTTTGCCTTCTCCTTTCTTCTTCTGCTCTTTCCTTCCTCATGTCCTCCTTTTCCTCCCCTCCTTTTCTGTGGGTGTTGCTAGTTGGAATTTCTTTAATAAGAAGCCCTCTCTATCCAGTGAGGGCTCTGTGGTGAGCCAGCTTCCCTAGTCTCCATGCTAGAAGCAAATGGAAGCAACGCCTGCTTTGGATGATAGAGGTGAATCCACAAAAGTCCAGAAGAAACAGAATCACAAGAGCAAGTCCCAGCTTCATGCAGAGACACAGCCTTCTCAGCAGTGCCTAGGCCCTCCCCAGCCTCTGCAGCTGGGGAAGAAGGGCTTTGCAGTCAAAGAGACTCAAGAACACTGGTATCAACTGCCCTGGACCAAGTCAACAGTGGCCACACACCTGGACACCTTGATCTCTCTCTCCTCTCACACCCTACCCCCAGTCCCTTGGCAGGACTTTCTGGCTCTTTGCTCAGGAATGCATAAATCTGACCCCATTTCTCCATCTTCCTGACTCTATCCCTCTGCTCAAAGCCTCCTGACTGATCCCCTGCTTCTTCCAGGCCCTCCTAGTGTCTCCAGCAGCCTAAGGACCTGATCATGTCCCTCCTGTGTTCAAACACCTGCAGAGTTTCCCACTCACCCAGAGGAAAAGCCAATCCAGTTCCATTGGCCTGCCTGGGCTGCAGGGTCTGCCCCACATCCCCACCTGTCTCTCTTCTTGGTCCCAGCGCCTCCCACCTTGCACATTCCTTGCTGTTCCTTGTACCCAACAGACCTGATCTCACCTGGGGCCTTTGCATTCACTGTCCCCTCTCGCTGGCACTCCCTTCTCCCATGGCTCACTCTCACACCTTTTTCAAGCAGGTCTCTGCCCAGATGTTACCTTCTCAGGGAGGCCTAGCATGCTCCCCCCCTTTCTTTTTCTCTGTATCACTTATCACCTAACCCACAGTGAATTTGTGCTCAGTCCTTGCCCTGTCCCTGCTTCAAGAAGGTTAAGTGATGACCTGTCTGTGCTCACTGTCGTGAACAAGAATCTACAAGAATGCATGGCAGGGTACAGATATAAATCCAAAGGCCTCAAGTTCCAACCCCACTTCCTCCATATCACCAGTATCACCAGCATGGCCAGTTTGGTTATACTTGTTATACTTGATGTTGTCCTACCTTTAGCTTATACACAAAAGTGGTAAAATCCTTACAAAATCATTTACACCTTATGACATTCAACTTTGCCACCTCCTCACTCAATTTTTACTTTAAAGTGAGATTCTCCAATGGTCCCAAGCTTTGGTTTAATGCTCTGTTCAAAAAGTTGCTCACCCAGGCCCTGCGTTTTCCTCCCCATACCCTTGTCTAAGCCATGTGGTTTCTGTGTCTGCCTTCTTGTCTTTTGATCCTTAAAAAGCCCCCCGGCCTCTCCCTCCCCTGCACCCAGAGCCCTTCTTGAGCAGGATCTACTCCCATAGGAGGCTGGGCCAGGATGGGCAGGCCCCGTCTCCTCCAGACCTCCCTTGCTGGCATTGGGGAAAGGAGGCTGAAAGTCCAGCTCCCATCTCGGGTCTGGCCCAGTTTCTGGTTCTGAGAGGAGGTGTGCTGGCCAGTGCTGCAGCTTCGAGCATGCTGAGCCTTCAAAATGTATCTCAGGGACAACTGAGACTCAAAAGTGTCTCGGGGACAAGGAACGCTCCTGCTCTGCGGAAGCTCTCGCAGAGCTTGGGAGGGCCGGCACCTTTGCTTTTCTGTCT